TCTATCTGTCACATTCCGCACGCATCTATCTATCTATCTATATATCTGTCACATTCCGCACACATATATCTATCTGTCACATTCCGCACACATCTATCTATCTATCTATCTATCTATCTATCTATCTATCTATCTATCTATCACATTCCGCACACATCTATCTATCTATCTATCTATCTATCTATCTATCTATCACATTCCACACACATCTATCTATCTATCTTATACAAGTTTGTGAAAGACCAGTGAAAGGTCTTTATTTGTTTTATTTACTTATTTTCTTCACATGGTTTCCTGTACATATTCAAGTATAAATTATCCATTGGACAATATATATCTAAATAGATGAAAGCACACATCTTTTTTCTGTTACTTTTAGAAATTCTAGGAAAAATAGATATTTAGAAATCTATTTATGATAAATTATATTAAATTTAAATTTAAATATATGATATTGAATTATATTTAAACTGTTATACTAAACTTATAATTTAATAAATTAAAAAATGTCTTGTTCTAAGTGCAAATCAGACATTATAATTTTCTTTTTTTTAACTTATTACTCTCCTTCTGTCCATCATATCTTCCTTTTCTCTGAAAGATAAAAATCAAATGAAAATCAAGAAAAATGTTTTACTAAAAACTTGCTTGAAACTATAACACATTTGTAGAATAAAAGAAATTGGAGCTGGGGAAAAAATCTCTTGTTTCTTTTATCTACCTTTTTCATTATTTTCTATATTTTTTCTTCTTTTTGTCTATATTCATCATTATTGTCATCATCATACTTTTTCCACTATTTATTTTTTTTTTTTTTTATTATTATTATTATTATTATTATTACTACTACTACTACTACTAATATTACTATTATTTATTTATTTGTTTACTTTCTATATTATTTCTATTACTGTATTATTTATTATTAATTATCTATTTCTGATATTACTATTATTATTCATTATTTATTTTGATATTTTTGATGCTTGATACACTTACTATATCTTTCACCTGAGACTTAAGGTAAATGAAGATTTTCCTTCAAAAATTATTAAGCATTTTGAATTGGAGAGAAATGAGACAGTGTGGAAAAGCTTTTTAATGACAACACGTTTCACCCATGTTTGTTAAGTTCATGTCTTCAGGTCAGAATGAAAGACAAAAAATCTCATTTATCCACTTTTGTTTGGATTCTATATCCTACTCACATGTACACTGAATTATTATTATTATTGTAATTGTTATTGTATTATTATTATTTTTCCTTTGAATTTTGTTGTATACTCATTTCCTTCTGGGTCCCAATCAGTGACCTAAGATCAGAGATGGCATCAGGACATTTCCCACTGATCACTTTTGTAAAAAAAAAATAAAAATAAAACAAAATCCCATGCATTTAGATAGATAATAGATAAAGTCCTTCATAAGGTCTGAGCTGTACTGGCATCAATTGTCAGTGTTTGAAGCAAAGTTTTCAAACGGTATATTTCAAATCGAGAATGTTTGATGCAACACAATCTTTCTACCCCTCTTCTCTTCATTAGGCTCTGTCAACAACCAAGGTAAGCTTCATACAAATTTTTGATTGGTGAACATTTCATTTTAGATAAATCTTGTGATTAGTTTCGAAAGAAATTTTCAAAAAAGAAACTTTTTTTTTTCAAATATTCTAAACTTGTTTTACTTTAAATGATAAGAAAGATCTTTTAACATGGTTGTTGTTATAAGATTTAAATGACAAAGAAAAGAGTTACTTTTTAAACATAAAATAAAGGAATATTATTTCATAGTCAATATTTGTTAACTCTAAGTTTTTACATGAAACTTATGACAATAAACAAACACCTAATATATTCTTTATTATTTGAACATTTTAGGATGTCCAAATTTTTTAATTTAATATTTCTCATTTCATCAAGAAAAAAGTTTAATGTTGATAAAAACACATTATCACAGCTTTGTCTCATAACTGAGGCAACTATATCTTTTTTCCAAAACCAGGAGTGGTTTTTTAAGGCCTGATAAAAAATTTAAAATTTAAAAAAAAAAAAGAGGATTTAAAAGATTGATTTTTTTTGTGAACAGGCTCTTCAGACTTTGAGTTTTGGTGCAGCACAATCTTCCTGCACCTATTTTTTTTTCATTTAGCCATGTACCCTCTTAAGCTAAGCTTAGTAAATATCTACAAGGTAACTTACATAGACTTATATTTTGCTATTATTTAATGGAATAAAATCTCCCAGAATGTCTGTTATAAATTAAACTCTTCAGAATAAAAAGATTGGGGCAACACAATCTTTCTACATCTATTTTTTTTTCATTTAAACAATGTACTCTCTTAAACTAAGCTTAGTAAATATCTACAATGTAATTTACAGAGACATATATTGTTATTACTTAATGGAATAAAAATAAGTATCTGTTATAACTTAGACTTTTCCTTTGGTACAACACAATCTTTCTAAACTCATTTTTTTCTTATTTATTTGTACCAAACTAA